TCTAGACAAAATAAAAAAAAAATCACATTAGGTTCCCCTTCTAATAATAAACATAAGATGGTAAAATTAATGACAGTACAGTTTTCGAGTGCGCTTTATCACTCCAAAGTGATTTCTTGTTTGACTTCAATGTACTTTCAGAATGGCTAAAAAGGCCACCCAATGCTCCTGAAGAAAGTATATAAGTTGAACCCCTCTATAAGAGACACTGATGTAAGAGAGTATGGGGTATGAGAGACACCAGTGTGCCTACAGTAGAATAAGGGTTGATAAGGAAGTGCATACGAGGTACCCTGTTTATAAGAGACATCGCATGTAAAAGATAAGAACTACTATCCAGAGCATGCCTTTTATAAAGCGGTTTATTTGTATTATGATAAGCAAGAAATGCCCAGGAACAAAATGAGCACACATATACAGGCTTGTAACCTTCAATATTAAACACACAAGACTTTAAAAGGGTCTCTCAGCAGGTCCAATAACAAATTTTAGTTAGACAGCGGCAGTTGTATGTCCGATGAAGAGAATTATGCCGCAAGAAATTTTTCATTTGGTTCATTACAAGTTAAGAAAACTAGCCTTTTGAAGTGGCACGAAACCATGATGCGGAAAGACGAGCTCAAAACCCTCGCCACTCGTACCACGTAGCCTTAGCAGCCCAAATGTCTTCCCTACCTTCTCCAGCATCCAAGTGCAAGAAACATGTCATGCGTATGACGAGCCTGAGCAAGCCCAGCCCCCAGGATGTGTGCTGCGTCGGTTTGCTGACCAGCGTTATTTCGTGGTTGACTGCCACACCCATAATCAGGCTTGCAACCAAGCTCGAAAACTGCGACACTTCAGTGGCACGCGAATGGCGGTATCAGGAGCCAGTGGTGGATTACCGTTTACTTGAATGGGGTAGAATAAATGAGCATTACGACTTCTCAAACGTGCCAGAACATTACTTTCATTTTTAGGGCTGGCGACGACTCAAGGCATTAATTGTAGGAACAAGAGCGCATGTGAAACGCAAGGATGTCCCCGCATATCACTGCAATTGACGGGAACGAAATGAAAGAGACGCAGACATTCCCTTTGTGTGTCTCATTATTTCGGTCAAGTTTTACTCATCTATTCAAGCAACAAATTTTACAAACAACACACGCCGTGTCAAATAATTTTCACTGTGTCGCGTGCTACTGTTGGCTGCGTCAGAGCACAGTCGTCTATGTAGAAGACTGACTACATAACACTACTGCCTATGTAGAGCAATTCCGTTGTCTACGTCACCTCATTCTCTGGAGGCATGCACGAAAGAAGGGCAAGCGGCGTTCAATTTGAAGAAATTTGAACCATTTCCACGGCGCCTAGCGTTGCCAATTTCGGCAGAGGTGATCATGATTGCGCTGGTCAACTGTCAAACCTGTCAAAGCAAAGCAGGCAATGCCTCAGGAGGAAAAGCACTCACCATGGTTCCCTGCATGAGCTTGGCGGCCGACTTGAACTCGGCCGTGCGGTCGCGGCTTGTCATGGTGCAGGCCGAGATACACGAGGTCACAGGGAGGCTGTCCTCGTGGTGGTCTGTGCTCGAGACAGTGCGTCTACGACGAGCTATCATTGGGCCCAGCGCAAGCTGCAATTTCCAAAGACATGGCAAGCTGCTCAGCGCCTCACAACTGGTTGCAAGCATCAAGCAAGCAAATCCTGTTTTAAGGTAAGACAACGCTTGTTCAGCCCTGTCGAGCACTTCTGCAAATCTTGTCAAAAAGAATGAGCAAATGAATAAAAATGTTTTCTTCAAAGTTTACGCTAGAACACCAGTATGTTCAAGCTCATTCACACTTGTGATTAAAACTGGTCGTGCAACTTTTGTGACTCAAACTGGGAAGTTGGACAAGTAGGTACGAAAACAGCACATAAAAACAACAAACTTGTGCAGTGCATGTTCTGCTGTCTTTCAACAAATCCTTCGTATTTATTGTTTTTCATTATTTGTCCCTGTAGACACATGTGCAACTCAAAGCAACCAACGTTGCCCATACGTGCGACTGATACTTGGCACACTCGGATTGTCATTGCCCTGTAAAACAGGACAACCCATCCCTGTGCATGTGGTTGCCCTAGAGGTCTTTCCAGAGTTTCTCGGCAACTGTTATCAAATTGTTATCAGCGAGCACTTGCAATGAGTCTCACTTTGCAACCAATCTGGTTGTGCCAATGGTGCTAGTAGCATCTGTGAATGACCGTTTAGTGTAGTGTAACGCGCTATCTAGTTGCTCAAATATGCTGATGCTAAAATGCTATGCCATTAATGTTGATCTCTGAACTAGGTCTTAGATTGTGAATGCTAATGCAAAAGGCCATCTTTTTATTATAAATGATAGCTTGGCACAATATTTCAGGCACAGGCACTGAGGCATTAGGCTGATAAGCAGGATCGGATTGGATCCAGGCATGCCAATGTCGACTGAAAGCAGTTTGACATATCAGGGTGGCAAGGAGGCAGGGGCTTTCCTGGCACGGTGTAAAGAAATGTGAAAGTGCAAGGTGCACTTGCTTGGAAATTCACGGTATACCCCCACGGGAGATGTCCTCTCTAGTTGGGACAGGAGAGTGCCAAGTGAGGCTATTGAAACACCGACATCACCAAGGCATTCCAGCACTGGCTCACAACCACCAATGTTCCTACATGTTGCTCAGTATAAACACTGTTTGCCACTTTTCTAACTGCTGCTGGAATTTCAAATACAAAATCTAGGCCTCTCAGATAAGGACACCACGAAGCCTGGGCTTGGCCGGCACACATCCTCATAAAGACATATATAATAGTCTTCCCCCACGAGGGCTGCCTTAGTCATGCAAAATCTAAGCCTGTAAACATCCACTATAATTTGAGATGTTCAAAAGAGGATGCTGAGACCAAGGTGTAGCCCTCTCGTGTAGACATTTTTTTAGTACAATATAATTCTGTTACTTATGGAGATAATACTAGTAGAATGTCTCAAGGAAATGAAATTTTGAGGATATAACGGAAGCAATGTGGTAAGCAATTGCAATGACCTAGACAAGGTGGCAGAACATTTTTAATAAGAGCGGTTCACAGACAAGCCATGCAACATGGAATGAAGTTGAACAGGGCAGTGTCAAAGAGGTTAGATTAGCATCCTGTGAGGATGCGAAGTGTCTAGCAACTTGATTTTTCCGAATTCCCTGACTTTTTCAAGTTTCCCATGATGATTAAAAGAAAACACCATGACAGTCACATCTGCTTGGAAAAGTCTGTGCACTGGAAACAAATCCTCGAGTGGCAAAAAAATTTCACGTGCTCACATAAGATAAGCAAACATATCTACCGCACATGCTGATAAAGTCCAGAGTGTGTGTGGCAAATATGAAAAAATGTGTATATCTGCAAATAGAAAAATAAGTTTGAAGGAACTTGCAATAGTCACACAATGCAGCCAAAGCTGCTAGGAAACATAGAAGTGGTGCCATCTCAAGGCATCCGTGTAAAAATATGACATGGAAGCCAGGCCGATTTCGCCACTGGGGTATATTCTAGTTCAGTATAATGACTACAGGCCCAAGCCACTTAGGATGTAGATTAGATTGAGTCTGATCTGGCCTAGATTGCTGTATTTACTATTGATTTGCGTCTCCGCCTAATTTACTACCTCTAACATATACTTTTCAGCAAAACAGAATAACACCTATGTGTGTATTTTGTGCACCTTGCCTTGACTATGACTAATGACAATGTCGCAAGAACGAAGCCATACTGCAAAATTTTATTTATTCTTCTTCCTATTTTTTTTTACACGATGAACACATGCACGCTGGTGTTTTATTTCTGTGTGCTCTGAAGCTTGAAGTCCCCAGATACCTGTAATGAAAGCTGGGGGGAGCATTTAAAGTGCAGAAGTTCGAATATGTGGTGGCAAGAAAGAATCTGTCAGTTTGCAACACCTTCCTTGGTTCCATAAATGAATCGCAGATGCCGACTCGTTACCTTTGTTTACGCACTGTTCTATGGACGTGATGTTAAGAAATAATTACAGATTTAATAACACTATTCAGGAAACAGCAATGAAAAATTAAGTTGCAATGAAAAATTAAGCTGAAGTTACCCAATGCCACCCTTAAAACGCGAGCTACTAGTGATAAGTGTGTAGCTGAGGACGCTTGCCATTGCATCGCCAATAAAAATATTTGCAATATAAAAATTACCGTATTTGCTTGCATAATGCATCCACATTTTTTTTTCAGAAAAGTTGACACCAGTTTGGGGGAAGGGATCATTACGCGGGAGAAAAAAAGTCACAGGAGTAATAAAAGCGAAAATTTCATATGACGGTTTTGCTTGCTCTGGCCTATAAAATGTGCGACGAACTTTTTTTTGTAGCCTGAAGCACTAGATTTCTCCCATAATGAAAGCGCACGGATCAACGCCAAAGTGTCGTCTAGCCACTTGAGGCCATACTCCAGCGCATGCTAGACAAACTTTAAGTTTAAAACCAGCCGTGTAGCTTGCGAACTGGCCAAATGCGTCCTGCACAGCAAGTGTCCAATTAAGTTCACTACGACAAACCCGGCAACAAAAATGCAGCGTCGGATGGCGGCGCACGACGCACCGTCGGCACGGTTGTGCATTGCATGGCCGCCGAAATGGTGTGCATGCAGTGTTTTTTTACCCCATGCACCTGCCATCTTGAAGACCATTCGCTTTGTTTTTTGCTTTGTTTTTGTGCCACTGTGCTTCCGTGGCGCTATAAACAAAGAGGTTGCTCCTGCATTCGACAGATAGTGCTTTGCCTCAAAAGGCGCAACTTTAACGTTTTGATTGAAGTTGTCCGCACTCACGCTGCTCACAACTGTTTAGCAAAGTTGCAAAACTATGTTCTGACTTTTATTGTGTTGTTACATTGTGATATAATGACTTGGTTTAAGGATTAAGGCACTAGCTGTCACACCAAAGTAAAATGAACAGATACATTCTTTATTTTTTTTCAAAGACCAAGATGGGGGACGGGTTCATTATGTGAGTGGGTTCATTATGCAACTAAATAGGGTGAACGCATGACATAGCCCGGCAAGCCTCTGCTGATGGCAGTTATAGCTTAACCAGAAAGCATTCAAGCTGAGCCGAAATTGAGGCCAAGACAAACATGCACAGATTTACTGTAGAAGCATATGTAGAAGCATATTGGTGATGGCGTGGCGTAATATGTAGAAACATACTGGCGTGGTGATGGAACTGCAATTAGAGGCCTGGGGTGCGGCCTCACCGGCGACCTCCGCCATTAACGCACTCCCTCACACGAGAAGTATTGGCCACCCTGGAGCAGTATCTGGCCACTACCTCCCACATGCATACGTCAATTAACTCATGGCACTCAGTCTCCAGCGGCTGCGAAGCAACTGACCACGGTGGCGGTCAGATATGCAACACAGCAGAGGGTGCTAAGAATCTCTGGATCCGGACAGGCCGCCAATGAAACCTGAACTTGGCAACATTTAACGCTAGAACATTATCTAGTGAGGCAAATCTAGCTGTACTATTTGAGGAGCTAGAGGAGGTTAAATGGAATATAATAGGGCTCAGTGAGGTTAGGAGGACAGATAAGGCCTATACGTTGCTACAGAATAGGCCCGTCTTTTGCTATCGGGGCTTGGCTGACAGAAGAGAACTGGGAGTGGGGTTCCTAATTCACAGAAACATAGCTGGCAACATATAGGAATACTATAGCATTAATGAAAGGGTGGTAGGTACCGTAATGGAACTCAATAAGAGATACAAGATGAAGGTGGTACAGGCTTATGCGCCTACATCCAGCCATGATGATACTTCACTTGAAAGCTTCTATGAAGACATGAAATCGGCAATGAGTAAGGTAAAAACACAGTATACTATACTGACGGGAGACTTCAATGCAAAGGTAGGGAAAAAGCAGGCTGCAGACCAGGCAGGAGAAGATTATGGCATCGATCCTACAAATGCCAGAGGGGAGCTACAAGTACAATTTGCAGAACGCAATAATTTACAGATTTTGAATACGTTCTATTGAAAACGACGCAACCGTAAGTGGACATGGAGGAGCCCTAACGGTGAAAATAAGAACGAAATAGACTTTATAATGACTGCACACTCAGGCATCGTGCAGGATGTGGAAGTGGTTGGCAAAGTACGATGCAGTGACCGTAGAATGGTTTGGTCTTGAATTCACCTAGACTTGAAGAAGGAACGACAGAAACTGATACGCAAGAAGCCAATCCATGAGCTAGCACTAAGAGGGAAAGTACAGGAATTCAGTCTCGCTTCAGTACAGATACTGAGCTCTTATTGAGGAAACCAACCTTAGCGTAGATACAATGAATGATAATCTGACAAGTATCACTACGGGGTGTGCAGTGGAAGTTGGAGGCACGGTAGTTAGACAGGACACTGGCAACCTTTTCCAGGAAATGAAGAATCGCATTAAGAAGTGTCAAAGCATAAAAGTCTCAAGTACAACAGGCAATATAGAACCGGCAGAGCTTTCAAAAATGATTAAGACACGCTAGATATCGGATGTAAGAAGGTATAACATGGAGAAAATTGAACACGCTCTGAAAAACAGAGGAAGTGTCAAAGCAGTGAACAAGAAACTTAGGATAGGCAAAAATTGGATGTATGCACTAAGGGACAAAAAAGGCAATATAACTAGCAATATGGATAGAATAGTTACAATAGCGGAGTAGTTTTACAGAGATCTGTACAGTAGCCGGGACAACCACGACCTTAATACTATAAGAACTAGCAGTAACCCAGATGACACCCCACCAGTAGTGATTGAAGAAATCAGAAAAGCCTTGGAGAGCATGCAAAGAGGCAAAGCTGCTGGTGAGGATCAAATAACATCAGATCTGCTGAAATACGTAGGACAGATTGTGTTAGAAAAACTGGCCACCTTGTTTACGAGGTGTCTCCTGACGAGAAGAGTACCAGAGTCTTAGAAGAATGCTGACATCATATTAGTACATAAGAAAGGAGATGACAAGCACTTGAAGAATTACAGGCCGATCAGCTTGCTCTCCGTAGTATACAAGCTATTTACAAAAGTAATTGCTAACAGAGTTAAGAAAACATTAGAATTCAATCAACCAAAGGAACAAGCAGGATTTCGAACAGGCTACTCAACAATCGACCACATTCATACCATCAATCATACAATAGAGAAATGCTCAGAATATAGCCAACCACTATACATAGCCTTTATAGATTACGAGAAGGCGTTTGATTCAGTAGAAATATCAGCAGTCATGCAGACACTGCGAAATCAGGGCGTCGATGAAGCTTGTATAAGCATCCCGGAAGAAATCTACAGGGGATCAACTGCTACCATAGTGTTTTATAAAGAAAGCAACAGAATACCAATCAAGAAGGGTATAAGGCAGAGGGACACAATCTCCCCAATGCTATTTACAGCATGCTTACAGGAGGTTTTCAGACGCCTAGAATGGGAACAGTTAGGAATAAGAGCTAATGGAGAGTACCACAGTAACCTGCACTTCGCTGATGACATTGCATTGCTGTGTAACTCAGGGGACGAATTGCAACTCATGATTACGGACTTAGACAAGTAGAGCGGAAAGGTAGGTCTCAAAATTAATCTGCAGAAAACGAAAGTAATGTACAACAACCTCGGACGAGAACAGTGCTTCGAGATAGGTAATAGTCCACTTCAATTTGTGAAAGACTATGTCTACTTAGGACAGGTAATAACTGCAAAGTCGAACCACGAGATTAAAATAACTAGAATAATAAGAATGGGATGGAGCACATTTGGCAAGCACTCTCAAATCATGACAGGTAGATTGTCACTATCACTCAAGAGGCAGGTATATAACAGCCGCATCTTGCCGATACTTAGTTACAAAGCAGAAACCTGCAGACTTACAAAGAGGATTCAGCTTAAATTGAGGACGACACAGCGAGCAATGGAAAGGAAAATTGTAGGTGTAACCTTAAGAGACAAGAATGAGAGCAGAGTGGATTAAAGAACAAACCGGGATTAAGGACATCATAGATAAAATCAAGAAGAGGAAACGGACATGGGTCGGGCATGTAGTGCATAAACAGGATAACCGCTGGTCATTAAGGGTAACTAACTGGATTCCCAGAGAAAGCAAGCGGGTTAGAGGGAGACAGAAGGTTATGTGAGCAGATGAGATTAAGAAGTTTGCAGGTATAAAGTGTCAGCAGCAAGCGCAGGACCGGGTTGACTGGCAAAATATGGGAGATGCCTTTGTCTTGCAGTGCATGTAGTCAGGCTGATAATGATGATGATGAAGAAGCTACAGACATCAGAATAGTGCATGTAACAACATGCAAGCTAAGAAATGCCTTAGTCAATGTGAAGGACAAGTTGCATCGTGGAAATTTCCCCGGTCTTGTTTACGTCATAGGCTGCCACGATTGTGACAACCAGTAAGTCAGTGAGAGAGGCAATTTTAAAAAAAGTTAAACAACCCGACTGCAACATCATGAAATGACGCATCACCTTGAATGCCCTCGTAGAATCTACCGGCCACCAAACTGACTTCTCAAGCGTGCATGTTCTGCCGAAAGAAAAGCTTGAATCAAGCCTGCCTCTGTTATCCCTGCATATACAGACAACTGCACATACACTGAACAGGAGTGATGGAACACTTCTGATGTGTACTATCGGTGCTACGTCACGTACTTAGCTGCATCCCTACATATGTTGTGCCTTTCTTATTGCTTTTATTGCAAACAAGGCTCCCGTATTGGGTGCCGACACGTCACTAAACTTTATGCTCTTTTTTTTGGTCAGTGTATTATTTAGTGTTCACACTAAGAAGCAGTAGTTATACACTGCTTTTTTCTTTTTTCATGCCTCTTTTACTGTAGTAGCAGCTGAAAAAGCGACATTTTATGTTTTCATCAATGGGAATGCTTATTTTTGTGACTGCCACCAGTTTACATGACCTGGTCAGGTTTTTCAGCAATTCGCAGACTTTTCCAGAAGGGTCTCGATTCCCTGACATTCAGGTTGGTAGACTCTGAAATGACATAGCTGTTGTAAGTAGTTGCAAAATTTTAGCCAGTTCATACTGTACAAATGAGCCTCTCACATATGAATGCTACACTGGGACATTTTTGCCATTACTGTATTAAAATACTGCCAAAGCTCTGTGTGATATCTTGCAGTGGAGTGGAGTAAGGAATCTCACCAACTGAAAAAAAAAAAGCCAGTAATGTTTTGTTTTTTTTAATTAAAGGGCAACTGAGGCAGACTTCCGAAGAGTAGACAAATCGATACTCCCATAAGCCTCACTGTGAAACCTCTATTTGCAAGTTTCTGAGGCTTGCCCAGCATAACAAGCTCACGTAAATAACCTATCCGTGAATAAACAATCTCCTGTTGTTGTTGTTTTTTTTCTAAAGCTGCACAGCACTAACATGCACATTCAGTATTGCTGTGTCTCCACGAATTGTTTCATCCCAGCTTTTGTATCAGGCAAAGGTAAGCAAAAGTAACTATTTCAGGCAAGAATGTAACAGCAACAGTGGTACTTCTGGCAAAACATTGTACTTCAGTGGTCGCACAATATTAGTGGTTTTATCAAAGATTAACTACTGCTTCGAACTATATTTTTAACTGAACGTGCTGACTTGTATGCCTGCTCTCCTGACCACCTAGGTGTGCTTTGTGCCTCTGCAAGAAAATAATCTTTGTTAGCAGAACGGTATCAGCAGACTTTGCTATCATGAAGGTAATATCAATATTGAGTCAGTTCATTGTTCTAAACAGCGCAAAGTCAACACGGACAAATATTCACACAGGACCAGTGCAGACTGCCAACTGCTTGATTTATTGCAAGGGCTGTACATATAATACATTGAAACTGAAAACACGGGGACAGGGAACACATCAATTCTTTTGTCCAGTGGCACAGTAAATGTTTAGTCACAGGAGATTTGTTTCCGAGATAACTACCCTCCTCACCTGTCAGATTGATCAAGGGCATACCAAC